TTCAAGGTATTTGCATTACGTATAATTTGCATATTCCATCGAGACCACATATCGATGATCCTCGTAAGTCATATAGAAGGATCAGTTAATTGTCGCTGTATATTACTTTAAACGCCATATTAAAATGCAGGAGTCTGGTGCTAGTCCTGAAGTTTAACTTTTCGATACAACGTTAACCATGGTTTAAAGCAAATTATGGTTTGGTGTAATATATTTCATTATCGATCGAATAACGACGTACGGACGCATTTCTCTTTAAATCTAATCAGTCCATTTCAGTAAGGGTAATCTCACGTGGTTGGCATCTGTTCTCCGATGGGAAAGTGTGTCCGTTGATCACATGTACAGGGAAGCCCATGGCGAGCGCCCATCGGGCACAGAGCGATATTGTGCCGTTGACGATTGATGAGTTAGACGACATCATAGCGCGACTGCTGGCGAACTGCGGAAAGAAGCCGGATATGCGGGTGCAGTTGGAGGAAGAGGAGGTGATTCGACTGGTGACTACTGTCCAAGGAGTGTTCATGAAAGAACCTATGCTGTTAGAATTGCAAGCACCGATTAAGGTACGTAAATAATTGTGGATTTCAGGCGCGGATGTGATTGAACCTACGTTAGATAGCGGGAGATCTGCATGGTCAGTTCGCTGACCTGCTTCGATTGTTGCAACACTCAGGATTTCCTCCTAAACAAAGCTACCTGTTTCTGGGCGATTATGTTGACCGAGGAGACAAATCTGTTGAGGTTATCAGTCTACTGTTTGCGTACAAGGCTCGATACCCGAACCGTGTTAGACTGCTGCGAGGAAATCATGAAAACAGGTTCATCAACGTCGTTTATGGATTCTACGACGAATTGCATGAGAAATTTGGTGACGTCGGGGGACAACGAGTCTTCGACTGTTTTACTCACACGTTCAGCTGGATGCCGGTTGCGGCTCTGATCGAAAAGCGTATTTTCTGTGTTCACGGCGGCCTGTCCCCGGATCTGCACTCGTTTGACCAGGTAGGTTTTGTGGAAGGATTCATGTCATGCGGTTTTTATGCGGCAATATTGGTAGTTTTTATGGCCGAATCACGAGTAGCGCCAAATCGTCATCAGCGAGAGCAGGCATTGGGCTTCAGATCGTTAGTCAAGCGTAAAATATTAGAGACACTTCTTGGTGGCATAAACTCCTGTAATTTGCAATCAGCAAAATTTTCCGCACCTAATCTGGCCAGCCAGATATCTTATAGTACCGTAACCACAACGAGGAACTGGTGAATCAGTGTCTCTTCCATTTCTGCCATCTCCACGTCGTCGAACGCTAGCGAAGCTAGAATAGCAGAGCAACCCAGTTTATTACGTCTATCTGTAGACATGGTCTCATATTGATACCAGGCAAAGGCAAAGGCTTATTCCTCCTCGTAAGCAAGTCTGCTTGAATGATTCGTTTTGTATTGTCCTTCAGCGCGTCTATGGTCAGTGTACAATTCCGAGAAAAGTTTGAAATCATTTCCATTTTCTCGTTGGGTCGTTTTACCAATCCAAGCCAGACGCCGGTGTCGAGTTCATCTGATATTTTTCTAAATGCAGTGGCCTACAACGAAACATTTCTGCGCCAACGTAACGTCATGAAAGCATAGCAAGACAAAAAATGGTTGCAATAACAAGTCATTTCAGTAATCGTTTCTCCACTAGACTCGGCTTCCTTTTCGATTCCATGGGAAACCTGCATTGTTTTATTACATGCACTTGTTGGACGTGAGAAATATTTCTCAAAAACATTTTTCAGCAGTGTCAACTGTTGGTTTTATGTTCTTCATACAGTAGGACTAGAAAACGAATGAAAGAATGGATGAGTATTCTTCAAGCATATAAATAGCAAATGTCGCAACGGCACGACAATGAATATCATTCACTATCCGTATGGAGGATTGCTTTATGCATCATTTTTGGCAGCAACGTTACAGCATCGCGTGTCTTCGTTTTTGCTCAATTGGGCGTTGGAAGGACTGACTGCACTTGATGACAGACACTGTGCGTGATCAACAGAAGAAGCCATCTGGGACTCCACTAATCCAATGATGGTGACAGCCGTAATAACAACAGAAAACAGAACGGATGGTGATTACCTCAACCATTTTTTACCTCTCACTCAGTGCCTTCAGGATCGTCTTTCGGTTCCAGTCATGAATCTCCATCCTTAACTAAAACAATAACAAACATGAATTGCACCTCGCACTGATTATCACGCTGGACAGCCATCTGACAAGTAGCTCTGGTCGAAATGCAGCACATAGAGGCGCTCCCATAAGGCAGCATCGCCGTACCGCTTGCCCATTCTAGTATGATTAATTCAGAACACCGTGCTACTGTTCTCAAGGGGGGTTGACCATAGCAAAGTGAAGTGAATTTCTTGGAATTTTGGCTAGCTGAAATTTTTCCTGTTTCTGATAATCGAACCCAGCAACTCCGGAGTTCGAAACCGACTTCCTACCTCGGTACCACCTCTCTGTAATCCGTGTTGTTCCCAACCAATGACTAGAACTTCAAGTAGTCAAATTATGGCCAATTAAAAGAAGCATGCCGAAGGCATTGATAGCATTTAAATACTCTCTAAATAAGACATCGCTTCATTGTCAGTCATCGTTAGATCCATTCTCTGTTGCGCGTGGTTGTTACAGACAACCGTGAGCATAAACATAGTGCAGAATTAAGCGTTACTAAAATAGGGCATGTTGCTTCGCATCAGCATCATTATGAGCGGTAAATGCAATGAAAACAAATAGTTTAAGACTCAGCGTTCCAAGTAAAAGTACTGAAGTCTATAATTGTCCAGACATGGTCATGTTTAACTCGGTTTCTAATTTTACAACTTACTGAAGCAATAGATCAAGAAAAAATCTGGAATCATGTTTAGCGAGGTTGATTCGGATGTACATAAAGAATTAAATTTATGTATATCTATTTCGATTGAGCTGAAACTAAATTCAGATTCGAGAATGGCCGAGACCAGTGATAGATCCGGAATTTGGATTAATCTGCGACATTCTGTGGTCAGACCCTCGAGCATTGACTATGGGTTGGGCGGAAAGCAACCGCGGGATATCGTTCACGTTTGGGCCGGATATCGTCAAGCAGTTTCGTCAGCGATTCGGCATAGACCTGATCGTTCGAGCCCATCAAGTAAGAGTTTGTCGGTGATACGTCTCATTGTCAAGTAATGAAGAAGCATTGTTTCACAGGTTGTTCGAAAAGGCTACGAGTTCCTTCCTGGTAAGGGTCTGGTCACTCTCTTTTCTGCACCCAATTACTGTAACCTGTTCTACAACGACAGCGCTGTGCTGTGTGTAGACGAAAACCTGTACTGTTCGTTTGACATCATGCGGCCGGACGTTTCGCTAAAGCTGGCTTATCAGCACTAATGGGAGGAATGACCAAATGAACCACTGATCATTACAGAGCGACAGAGGAGATTTTAGTGAGAAACCAGATAAGACAGTTGACATTCGAATTTCAAGTGTACGTCGAGTAGAACACAGCAGTTCTAAATTTTGAAGTCACGCTACGCCGTTAAAGTGAATAAAATAATCAGTGGCATCGATTCATATTTTGGACAGAATCGGAATAAAGTCTTTTCATAACTCCTGAATGAGAGGTGCAGGTAGCCCAATCGGCAATGCGCTAGAAAACTACATGGGTGGGTTATTGGCTCATCAAAAGAAAAACCACCAACAACTTTTTCGTCTGTGTCACAAAAATCTACTTCAGGGTATGGGCCTGATGCACGGCTGCTGTCAGCAATAGGTGGCAGCGGTAAAACAAGATTGCGCTCCTTCCTGATGCTTCCACCATATTGTCGTGACCGACATGATGAAACTCATTCAACCCATGCACAAGTCGCATGATTGTTACCTTTGCGCCGTACTGGATGGACTAAACTTTTTCTGACTTCCTGTTCAATTGTTTTCGCTGGTGATGCCAGTACACCATGGCAACTGAAAGAGAAAGTTGCCATAATACCGTGTGTTTCACGATTTCTCAGCTCCTTCCATACTAAATCTGACTTAGTTCAAGATGTCTTTTCTTCTGACCGACACGCTTCCTTTGAACGTTTCTTCCACATTCATATTTTTCAACAGGAGAATCGTAATTCGTTGAGTGACGACGCTCCTTGTTTTCTTTGTGTTAAGTTATGCACAATTAAATGACCAATTGTAAACCCGACCCAAGTAATCTTTAGTCTCAGGCTTTGGTCTGCATAATAGAGAAGGTTGTTAGAAAGTTCAAATATTGAGTGCATAACGTAACACCGTTGTCTCGCTTACAAGACTTGATTAACACGATCACTGAAGGTTCCTTTAACAGAGGCCAAAGAATTTGCTGCGTCATTTTTGGGCCGGCTGTACCACTATGGCCATTCTACTAAATACAGGCATGAACTTCAGGTTTATAATACACATATAGCCCAAACTAAATACGGAAACGGATAGTTGCACAACGAAACCTTCGCGCACAACAACCCAACATAGACAGAGGATGAGCTCTAATCTCGGAGCGTATTTATTTGCACATTCGTCAGACCCTTCGTAAATCTGAAGTCATAAAATTCATCATAGTTCCACGATGTAGTTGTTAGTGGCGTATATTCCAGAACTACGACTTCACCAAACGCTAAGCTTACTGATCATATTCACTCATTCAATATATGAATCTGTTCGCAAAATTAATTTTAAAAATTTCATAATCGAGTTATGTACATCTGAGCTTATTCACAAACTGCTGAAAAAGCATGGTCTCATGTATTTATTGCACAGGCAACACACTTTATTCACATACAAGTTAAGACTGGCCTGCCAATCACCATATACTAATAAACCAATTCACGGAGAAATTCACAAAGAGGTCATCTGAAAGACTGATAGTATACACAGTTTATACATGGGAGTTTTTTGCGTGTAAATGTCACGACACGACATCTGTCGACCAGCAGGAGAGCATGTAACATGGATGAGCATGATAAAACCAGATTTGCATTTCCCAGAGAATCCTTCAACCTGCTGCAACTAGCGAAAACTATGTGTGTAGCGGGTATTACAACCATTTACATTCTGTTTATGCAAATCACTCAAGCTAGTGAGAATAAACAGTCGCAACAATGAGCAGTAATAAACAGGCCAACTACATATCAGAAAGAAATCAGTATTCGTCGAAGTGGCAACATGCTAAACGTTGTTTAGCAACATACATATAACAATTCAAACCATTTACTAACAGACCAAAAACAAGTTTAGACAGTGAGAAATGTTCGGCAACAATAGTGCAGTCAGGATGTTGTGGAATAGTCCTTCAGCAATCCGGATTGAGCCAAATGCTCGTTATGAATAATAACGTTACGCTTTCTTGCTGCTTTCCGTCTACCGTTCATACCAGCGCCTGACAATTTCTTTGGGGCCAGATCTTTCATACTATCTATGCTGTGCTTCCGAAGGTATTCAGCTATTTTCTTTTCGTCCAAATGATCTACCGCAATGCTTCGCCACAAGCCTTTGAATTCTACAGCAAAGAATTGAATACAGTTCAACGAGGGAACAGTGCAGCAACGACAGAATACAAGGACAGTTTATTCACGCTCACAAAACACCATGTAATATTCATGTACTATAAAACGGTGGCGACCACCTGCCATGCATTGGCTGACAATATCAACTGAACCTTTGGAGCATGGACAAAAGTTCATTTTATCAACGCCCGTTGATTCTCCGTTTACCGCTTAAATATAGCACTTTCTTACTATTACCCCGAAGTATTTGACAGCACTGTCCATCAAATAATTTTCAGAAAAAAGCATGTTGAAATATTTTGATGCCATCTAACTTTTAAATGGAGGACGGAACCAAACAGATGTGTGAGAAAACCCAGACGACGTTTAATGGAAAAACGGAGAGCAAAGAAAATTATTCACGCCACTTAAGTGGCTGAAACCATGGAAAGATGCCTCCATGTTATGATTCCTTTGAAATGACCACTGTCATTTCCTAAGCATTTTCTTTAGAACCATGAACTAAAGAGCATGATTGTTAGCTAGCAAAGGGAAACACATCAACACATGAAAAAAACTTTCACTTTACCTTCGTCAATTTTCAACGACGATTCTGGATCATTATAGAACAGAGCCATATCTTTTCTTTTATTAACATTCACCGGAATAACTGACACCGCATCTTCAAGAGACTAAAAATTTAAAAATGCAAACAACGCGGCTTATAATACCAGTTTATAATCAGTGCGTTCTGACTTAATGAAAACTGGTCTCAAAGCTTTTCTCAGGCACTTGAATATACCTTCTAAATATTAATAAACAGACATTCTTAAAAGTTTCGATATTTGTTAGGTAAATCAGTTTGTACTGAATTAATAATTAATACCTGAATCAATATATTTCACTTTTTGTTTACAATCTATTATAGTGGCTGAGAGAGAGCTCTCAGTTCGATGGCAACAGAACCTCCGTTTGAGCATTGGCCGTAATGTGCTAAGGGTTTGCACCCAAGATGGCCTTTACTGAATTACCTTCATAAATTACGGTTAGATGACATACACGTAACGCATTTTCAGCCAGTAAAAGGAGAAAAGCATGTGGCATGAGAAGCGAGATAAAACAATCGTTCTATTAACAGGACCTGCTCGTCGTTCATGTGATACATGACGATTGCAGACGGAGGACTACTGTACAACAATAACGTACAGTTATCACCCGATTATCGCTGGACAGGTGTTAAAAACTTTGCGTGTCAACTCATGGCCAAGCTTGCCTGAACAATTTTTTCTGGCATTGGAATGCAGTCCGCTAATTCAGACATCAGCACACCTCCTTTGCCTTCAAGATCGTGCCGCTTCAAAACGTTTATCAGCGAGTTCTTTCCCTTGACTTTATACGGAGGCTTGTAAATAAATTTGCCATCTTCATCTGAGCTGATCCGTCGATTCTGAGGCAGTACCTGAAACGTGAGTTGATTACTATATCTAGAAGATGAATTAATACATCAATCTCTACCTCTCTGAGCCACTGCTTTGTTTTCATGGTTAAATCGAACATTTGCAGCTCCTCGAAAATCTCTTCAAGACTTAAACTCCAATTGCTTTGTTCCAAATGTCTTTTCTAAACAGCAAGTACCGATGCTAGCAACAAATGTGTGAAACATAATGAAAAAGTCAGTTCAAATTACCTTCATGTGATCCACTATTTTAGCCAGCACTCCAAAACTAGCCGCCATACTTGCTTTGGCAGTTTTGTAGTCAAAGTTCGCAACTAAAAACCATATTAAACGATATACTAAGGTGAAAGAAGAAAAGCAAAACATAAATGAACAGTAAAACGGTTGAGGATGTAGAAAAAAAGCAAAAGACAATTGAAATGAAGCAAAAGTTACGAAACCAATATTTAAACGGAATTATTCTTCCTCGGGGTAGTACATGGGCATGAACTTCGGAATCACTCATTTGAGCAACGTGGTCGAAGCTTGTTTTGTTACTTCAGCAGGATAAACAGCTGCAATGAAGGTTGGACGTCGTAATGAATTCTGTCACCTAGTGTGCTGAAGAGCTGGAAGAAGTCATGCATGGTGTTTAAATAACATAATTATATTATAAAAGGATTAATAATGTATATGATATATAGTGCTGCATGCCTTCGCTTACCGTTCCTCTGATGACGGGTACTGTTCATACTCTTCAAAATATCAGTTTCCAAATTAAGGTTTTCTGCTTTCTCTGGTGCTGCCAAACAATTATTACGACGAAATATATTATGAATCCAAGATATAAAATTCTATGTAATTTAAATCATGCAGACAGCAGTGATGCACAACTAGCACAGGTAC